AGCGGATGCAGAGTGAGAAGAGCATCCTGGATGAACCAGACTCTCCGATAGAGGTTAGAGTGAGTGTTTTCATACTACATCAGGCTATCTAGATATCTAATATTTAAAATAAGCAGTATTGGAACGTTTTATCTTTAAAAAGAAAATTGAAAGATTACTTGTTCATGATCATATGTATAAACAATTTCAGTAATGTTCACTGCACAAATCTTACATTGTACAATATATACATATTTTCTATATTTCACATCAGAACTACACATTGGTAGATTAACTTCTTTTATATCAAAACAAGTAGGCAGTTCCAACAACTCCTTGGAAATTGCCATTTCTCATCCTTATTTGTGTTTTTGTTGTGCAAGTATTTTGCATAATGATATGCATTCTGTACGACTGTTGTGCTGTTTAAAGCGACATTCAAATGGCAGTTGGATTAGTGTGAATGTAATGGTTGTGGCAGTTATCTCAAAAACAGTGCACTCCCATGTTTGATAAGTTTGGTCACAGAAATGCTTTTCGGTTTCTTTACTTTTAATAATAAGTTTGAAGTACATTTTCTTCCCTCGAGGTCACAACATGTGATTGTCATATATACTTGTTCAAAGCTCTGAATCCCATTGAAGCCTTTCAGTTGTAACTCATCCTCCCCCTTCCCCATTTATACTTGCAGGATTTGTTGAAAACACTCTTGTTTTAAAATAGATTATACCATGTAAATATTAGCCGGTGATTATGTTTGTTAGAAACGTAAGAAGATTGTTTTGATCATATTTGTCTCAAATTTCACATCGATTTTTGCGTGAGATCAAATTTACTTGATTGTCTTTAGTTATACAGTTTGGACTCTTAGGGTCGCTGTTGACCAGAATGTTTATGCCTGAGCACCAATTTGAAACTCCACCAACCATATATTCACATAATACAGAGAGAGCACGACAGAAGATGAGCGGACACATTATATTGTTGAGGAATACTGAAGAGGAGATAGACGGATTTTAACCCTCGCGGTTTTTTCATCAGAGGAAATGTGTACACCATTTGAAGTTTGATACTGGAACTGAATTCTAGCGTTATATTTCTATGGAATTTACTGGAATCTCTTTGGTGGAAAATCGGATAAAACAATGAGTCGGCAACTGCTCCTGGCCTTCTTTCTCCTTTCGCCGCACACGGTGTTCTCTCAGGTCAGCTACTCCATTCCAGAGGAAATGCAAAAAGGTTCGTTAGTCGGAAATGTAGGACAGGATTTAGGTTTAGAGATTAAACGTTTGATATCAGGAAAAGCAAGGATCTATATGAGGAGTAGCGAAGAGTACATTGAGCTGAGCAGAGAAAAGGGAGTCCTCCTCGTAAAGCAGAGAATAGACCGAGAGGCGCTGTGTAGAGAGACTGCTCTTTGTGCCTTACATTTTCAGATTATTTTAGAAAATCCAATGGAATTTTACGGTGTTGCAGTCCAGATAACCGATATTAATGATAACGCACCAACTTTTGAAAAAAATGAAATGACGTTTAAAATAAGTGAATCGGCGACTACAGGAGCTAAATTTGTGCTGGACAGGGCTGTGGATCTTGATGTTGGTGTCAACGATCTCCAGAGCTACATATTAAAACCATCTGATCATTTTGCTCTTAAAATGCATAATAACGCAGATGGCAATAAAAACGTGGAAATGGTTTTACAGAAGCCTTTAGACAGAGAGAAAGAAGAGCAGATATCTCTCGTGTTAACGGCTGTAGATGGAGGAGAGCCGCAGATGTCCGGAACAATGCTTATTGTCGTCACGGTTTTAGACGCTAACGATAATGCTCCTGTTTTTACACAGAAAACATACAAAGCTACAGTTACAGAGAATTCACCTACAGGCACTGCCGTTGCTACTGTTACTGCATCAGATGCAGATCAAGGAACGAACAGTATAATAACGTATTCGATAACAAACACGCTGGACCATGTAAGGCGAGTGTTTCAAGTAAACGAGGAGACTGGACAAATTTCGATTATTGATGAAATTGACTTTGAGAAATCAAGACATTTTCAAATAAATTTACTTGCTAGTGATAGCGGAGGACTTACGGACTCCTGCAAACTAATCGTCGATGTGCAAGACGAAAATGACAATAAACCAGAAATAAATATTATGTCGAAATCAAATGTAATATCAGAAAATGCTAAAGAAGATACAGTTGTTACAATGATAAATATTGAAGACCTAGACTCAGGCAAAAATGGGAACGTTGAATGCTTTATAAGCAGAAATATACCTTTTTTATTAAAATCATCAACAAATAATTTCTATAGCCTCGTAACAGACAGTGAATTAGACAGAGAGAGAGCCTCTGAGTATAACATCAC